ATTTGAAGTACTGGGACTTAAACTGAGGGCTTTCACTTGCCAGGCAGGCACTCTACCACTTGAACAAGGCCTCTAGTCCAAGAAGTGTATTTTTTAAGCATCATTTTGTTATTAAGGTGTCGTAGAAAGGGGATACCATTTCCTAAGTCAGGCACAGAGTACAATTCTTTGGAGAATGTCACCCTTTCCTTTGCCTTCCCCACTTCCCAGAACCTCCCATCACTGCCCACAAGCTGCATTTTCCACCTGGTGTGGAACTGAACACCATGACTACATCTCCCAATCTGTTGGCTACCTTTCTGGTTTAGTAAACTATGTCCTTGGCTACACAAACTTTTTATTTTAAAGTAATCACATGTGTCAACTCTCTCTCCTATTTGCTCTAACTCTGGAACTCTTCAAACAGTTCCTATCTATGCCTAAAAGTTTTTTCTAATGTCCTAATGTTTCTCCTACTCCACATTGTAGTAGTTTCAAAGTTTCAAATGGGACATGAAGGTCTTTGAGCCACGTTGATATTGGTGCATGGTGACAAACAGGGATTAAATGTCAATTTTCTACATATGAATGGCCAGTTTTCCCAACACCAATTGAAAGAGGCTTTTTAATACCATATATTTTTTGACCTCCTGGTCAAATATCAGATAACTCTAGATAAATATATTTATTTCTAAATCTTCCATTGATCTTCAGGCCTGTTTTTGTGCCAGTGTCGAGCTGTTTTTGTTATTGCTTTGTGGTAGTTTGAGGTCTGTGATTATGATACCAGCAGCATTGGTAGTTTTGTTTTTGCCTAAAATTGCACTGGCCATTGGAGATCTTCTGTAACTCCATGTGAACTGTTTACCTCAGTGAAGAATGTCAAGAAATGTACTCTGAACCAAACATGGTAATGTAACTGCAGCAGTTAGGAGGGTCTGTGAAGCAGAATGTGAGACCTTGAGAGACTCTCAAATAAAGACAGAAAACAAACTAGTTCACCAACAAATAACACTTTGTCTCTTCTGTCCAGGCCCTGGGTATAGGCCCTGTCCCTGAGATTCTTTGTACAAGGTTAGTTTTCTACCACTTGAGCCACGGCTCCACCCACTTTCAGCTTTTTAATAGTTCACTGGAGGTAGAATATCAGGGACTTTCCTGCCCAGGCTGGCTTCAAACCTTGATCTTTGGATATCAACCGTGAGCCACTGGCGCTCAGCTTTTTGTGTCTTATTTTTGTATGTGTGCTGGTCCTAGGACTTGAACTCGGGGCCTGAATGATGTCCCTGAGCCACAGCTCTACTTCTGGCTTTTTAGTGGTTAATGAAGATAAGAGTCTCATACATTTTCCTGCTGGCGATGACTTCAAACTGCAATCCTCAGGTGTGAGCCAAAAGTGTAAAATAATGCTGCAAATTTTCATTTCAATGCTGCAAGTTTCTCCAGGAGCAAGTATAAGGGAAAAGGAAAAAAAAAAACTGTTGGGGAGAACTTTAATAAGGTATTTTAATGGTAGAATCTTTTTGAAGTGTATCCAACTTCTTAAGTAATTGTTCAATCTCCAATACTATGCTGCTATGATTATTTTTAACGTGTGAATCTATACAATATAGTACTTGCTCATGGCCACTTGATATAGATTAATAATACACATTAAAAAGGAGGGTGGGTGTAAAGCCACCAGTGGCACATGCCTATAATCCTAGCTACTCAGAAGGCTGAGATCTGAGGATCATGGTTCAAAGCCAGCCTGGGCAGGAAAGTCCATGAGACTCTTATCTCCAATAAACCACTAGAAAATCGGAAGTGGCGCTGTGGCTCAAGCGGTAGAGCGCTCACCTTGAGCTGAAGAGCTGAGGGATAGCGCCCAAGCCCAGAGTTCAAGTACCCACGACTGACCAAAAAAAAAAAAAGGAAGGTGTAACTTCTAGCTAGACATCTGAGGGCAGAATGTCAATGAGATCCTTTCCAGAAATCAAGATCAAATGAACTTCTGAACACTGGATAAAATACCTCCATCGTTACTCTCACCTGTTTCTTAATGCTGAAGCCTTGCCTAATATTGCCTGAGATAAAAAGGTACAAGATTCCTCTCTGAAAAAATTAACCCATTCCAAAGAAAAGCCAGAAAATGATGTTGGAGATGAGAGGGTGGCCACGTTTTGTTGTGCCTTGATTCCACAACAGAGCCCAACATGCAGATGTGTCTCTCAAACAGGAAGGGTTCTGAACACAGCAAGAATCTAACATGAAATATTTTTTAAAAACTATGTGGAAGGAAAAACACTTGAAAAATTGTTGTTAAAACAAGGAACAAGCCTGGCATGGGTGCTCAGGCCTGTAATCCTAGCTACTCAGGAGGCTGAGATCTAAGATAGTGGTTCGAAGCCAACTTGGAAAGCAAAGTCCGTGAGACTCTCCAATTATCTCCATTTATCATAATTACCTTCAGTTATCTCCAATTAACCACGAGAAATATGGAAATCACAGTGTGAGTGAAAAAGCTCAGGGTTGGGGCGCAGGGCCCTGAGGTTAAGCCCCATGACCAAAAAAAAAAAAAAGGGGGAACAAGGAAAAATTTAAAACAACCCTTAATTTAATATCACTAGATTAACATTATTCTCTCAAACAAGAACAAGGTGCTACTTAAGACTTGGATTTCCTCTATAACTGCCTAAAAGAAAGCAGGGAGGTCACAATATGACCACTTCTACAATAACAGCAAGACCACCTGGCTTAGAAGGCAGCCAGTCCAGACTGGAGGATGAAGGATTTGGAAAAAATGTTTCCCTGCGGGTAATTTTGAGTAATGATTCTTGCGTAAATGATCATGCTTGCAAATGATTCTTGCATAAATGAACATGAAATACAAAGCAAATTGAACAAATTATAACCAAGCCAATTCCTAATACAAAAATAAAAACAAAAATATTTTACAAGTATACTTCATAAGACATGTTTTACATTAGATATACCTAATACTGAAAAAGAATTGAAGAAATCCAAATCTAAGTTGTATCACTCTCTGTGACTGGATAAATTATTTAACCTGAAAAACAAAGGAAGAGGCAACAATGTTTGATAAGAAATGTACTCATTACCTTGCTCATGTAATTGTAACCCTTCTGTATGGTATTTCACAATAAAAAAATAATAAATAAATAAATTGCTTAACTTTCCTAAGTTTTCTCATCTTTAAAATACGATTGCAACTGGGTGCTGGTGGCTTATGCCTATAATCCTAGCTACTTAGATAAATGACTAAAGTTAACCAGAAGAGTGGGAAATGGGAATGACAAGGTAGAATGAAACAAGGATCTAACATTTTCCTTAGGATATAACAGTACTTTAAAGCTTCTTACATTCAAAAAGTTAGAAGAAAAAATTATTTTTAATATTTTATTTCATCCTATGCATTCAAAACTAATTACCATTTAAAAATTAATCATTACAAACTGGTTATCTAATTTTCACAAACCTTTTTTTGTATGAAATACTTAAAATGCAATGCATATTTTACATTTATAGCACATCTCAATTCAAATTAGCCACATCTTAAATGTTCAATAGGCATAAGTGCCTTGTGGATAAACCATACTGGAGAGCGTTGCCTATAACTGATTTTTAAAAAATCAGCCACTGTATACCTTCTAATGGAAGACTACCACCTTATATAGTAATAAATGCCATCCCCCACCCCATCCCAGTTTACAGAAAATACAGGAGACAAAAGAACATTTTTAAATGGAATATTAAGGACGCAATCAGCAAAGTTCAGGTCTTGAGAAACTTAGACAAAGGGGAATTTTAAATGATATAAGAAAAACTTTAAGGACTAATGAATTGAAAGATACAATACTTGAATCTTCACTGCCATTATTCAACAATTTTTATACTGATCAGAAAACCAAACTTTTGAGTATTTGATAATCAAATTATTTTGTGCAAATTTTTAGGCACAATTACTTTTACAGATTTCTTTTTTTTGCTGTTGGTCATGGGGTTTGAACTCTAGGCCTGGGCGCTGTCCCTGAGTTCTTCAGTTCAAGGCTAGTGCTCTACCACTTGAGCCACAGTGCCACTTCCAGCCTTTTCTGTTTATGTGGTGCTGAGGCATTGAACCCTGGGCCTCATGCATAGCCAGGCAAGCACTCTACCACTGAGCCACTTTCCCAGCCCCACTTTTACAGATTTCTTAAAAGAGATATGCTCTCAGTACATCCTGAAATATTAATGGATGAAATGACACGATCATCTGGGTTTGCTTCAAAAAAGTATGTAAGATGGAGGTAGTAGGTAGGAGTTCCGATGAGGAAATTGTTGCAACGGGGGGATAGTAACATGGAGGCTCATTCACTGCTTTACTCTTCTTGTATGTTGTTTTAAATTTCCCACAAAAAGAGGTTTTGAGGCATAATTAATGAAAAATAAAACAAAAAATACACATAAATTTAAAGAAAAAAAGTCAGTTGATTGTGATAATCACTCTGTTCATCTAATCCAAGTTCAACATTAATTCTTTTAGATCAGAAGAGTTTGTTTTCTTATTACCCTTCAGTAAGCTTGGGGAAACCATACTGGTCCATTGGTTCTGATTTTATGAATCTCTTTTCCAGCTCATCTGATATTTGCCCTAAAGAAGAAGAACTTTAATGTTTGTTTATAAAACCTTTGGTGTTATTTTTGACTAAATGTAGAAGACTTTTACCTAAAATTTAACTGGAGTCTCAGACTAGGCACTAGTGACACACCTATTATTCTAGCTACTCAGAAGGCTGAGATCTGAGGATCGTGGTGCAAAGCCAGCCCAGGCAGAACATCCATGAAACTTATCTCTAGTTTAACCACCAGAAAAATGGAAATGGAGCTGTGGCTCAAAGTGGTAGAGCACGCTTTGAGCAAAAGAGCTCAGGGATAGCACCCAGGCCCTGAGTTTGAGCCCCAATACTGACCAAAAAAAAAAGAAAAAGTCTCAGAAAATAATAAAAGAGAAATTCAAAAGGATGAATTGAAGACACTAGTCCAATAGAGTGGAGATCTCACTTTTATTCTTGATGTTTTATACTAGGAAATTAACACTTAATTTAATATCCATTTTTCACAACTGATTTATTAAAAAAATCCTTAATTGTACATAAATTTCCTATGATCCCAAGTTTTATTTATCACTCTCCTTCAAGTCTGAAGAAAATGTTTAACTTACTAAACTCCACAGACAGCACAGTACTACTGGTGTAACATTTAGTCTTTAGTGCTACACTCATATGAGAATTAAGAAACTGGCCTAAAACCTGATTGTTTTTCTGGTTCAAGATAGCTGAAAAAAAAATCTAACTCCATATGAAGACATAAAAATATTAAGCTGGGGTATAGCTATCTCAGAAAAAAACCCTTTTTATAGTAGATTAAAAATGAACATTTGTATTCAATCTATATTAATTATTGCAGGCTTTCAAAATGCCTGTTGACTGTGATTGATCCAAATAACCTTACGTAATATTTAAAAAAATTTTTTTTGCTCAGCATTTCAAAATGGTTGCAGAATTAACTTTAAAAATGTCAGAGTATACTATACATATTGCACTTTTCTACAAGACTGGGTTAGTATCTTCTGTGGAAAAATACTAAAAGTACTGAATATAAAACATTTTAAAAGCAATAAGTACTTGATTAATTTCCCTGAAATTATCATCATCATTATCAAAATCTTCCAGGATTTTTAAAGAGTTGAATCCCCTTAAGTACAATTTTAAAGTAAAATGGGGGATCAGGGAGGGGAAGGACCAAAACCCTCATAGGATTTTCTTTAATGTCCTTTTTTGTCTTACTGACCAAAATGGATTTCAAACAAATTAGGCTTCATGATTCCTGCCTTAATAAAAAGCTAAAAAAGTTCTATTATCCAAAATCAAGAAATAATATACTCATTAAAAGCTCTTAACTTTGTAATGTCTATGTCTGTCTGTAGGTCCCCTTACAGCCCTTCTGCACTGTTATAATCAAGAGATTTTAATCAATGATGTACTGGAACCAAATTGGGTAAAGAACAACTTATTTTCCAAAAATAAAATCACTTCCCAACATGCTTGACAGAAGCAAGCTATTCGTTTTCATTTGTGTCCCACTGAAGACATTACTGAAATTGTCCAATGGTTTATTTCCAAGTGCTCCACTAGACTTCTTCGGAATGTTTTAAGATTGGCTGTAGCTAGAGTTCTGAGTTCCATTTGGACCCTGCTCTCCTTCACTGTTCAAATGGGGAAGAAAGAGATTTTATACCAATTAAAAGATTCATTTTTCAACACCCTGATACACCTACTATCTTCTGAAGGTCATTATTCTGTGGCATCATCATAAAACAAAGATATTCCTGATTATAAGACACCAATGTAGCAAAATTAAAATACAGAAAACTAACATTTGGTTTTATGCTTTTATTCTTCTGTAACTTTTTACCCTAACACACAACAAGCAGTCTAAAAGTTAGTGTCCATTTACACTCAAAAAGTTTAAATTAGTGTATGGGGTTTCATTATTATTACAGGTATCACTCAACATAGAGATTACACCTTTTTTCTGAACAAATTTCCTATAAAATTAAATCTTAACATATAAAATTCTATTTCTACTATTTAGGGAAACCAAAAGTGTTCTTCCAAAAAAGCAAACATACAAACAAAACTGTTGTCTAATGGCATAATAAAATCATATGTAATTACAGCAAATCTTTAAATCAGAAAAACACGGTAATTTCCTAAAACTGAAAGTACCAGTGACTGTGGCAATAGGATTATTGCCTTCTCTTCTCCACCATCATCTTGTAGCTCCAGGCCCTGCCACTAGTGGAGAATCACTCAGGGGATTTCTGTAAAAAACGCATCCAAAGGTAGCTGTTTGAATGACTGCCTTGAACAGCTCCTTGTATAAGTCAAGTATCATTTCCTTCCAAATTGTAACATTAATCAGTTGCAATCTACCATTCTAGCTTAGTGCTATCTATCAATTATCTTTCTGGATGACTAAGATGGATAGCATTTATTTTCCTCTGCCTTTAGTCACTACCTCAAATGATGTGATAGTGAGGGCTGAGAACCACTGAAATAAATGAGCAGATCTTAAGACAACAATAAAAACTTCTTAGCATAGGAAATTCACATTTGGCAAACTGTTATGGTATATTGTGGGTCACTCAAATGCCAAAGTCCTTTACAATATATCAGATTACTCATTAAAATTTTTGAAAACTGTTACTGAAATTTATAAAATAGAGGAATAGCCAGGGTGTGTGTGGCACAGAATCAAACTGGTACAGAACTAAGGAACTCTTTATCCTTGAATTTCATATAAACTTGTTTAACTCAGTTCTGTTTAAGTATATGTACAGTATGTGGCTGTATGTTGAGGAATACCTGTAATAGACCTCCGTTACATTAGGAAATATTGCTAATCAGATGATCAGATTAATTTATTTTAAAAACTGAAACATTCTCTGATGAAGAGGGTGACACGATGCATTGTATACATAAATGGACATGTTAAAATGAAACCCCCTTGAACAACATAACTGATGAAAGAAAAGTGAGATATTCTCAATCTATTAAGTCACTTTAAAAAGTATGCACAAGTCATGACATTTTGGTAGGGAAAGATATAAAACAACATAATCTAAGAAATAAAATAATAAATAAATGAAACCATTAACTAATAATTTAAAATACCTGTTTGGAGGTGGTTTTGGTTTCGGCATCTTACTAAGAATAGTAGCCATTTCTTTTTTCTCATCGAAATTCTTCCACTGCTCATACAGTTTTAAAATAACCCTGATTATTTCCAAAATCTAGAAGAAAGTATTTGAAAAGTTCTCAGCAACAAAAATAAGCAACGTAGCACTACAAAAAGAACAAGTCCGGAGAGCCAATCGTGGCAGCAAAAGCCCTTAAGCCCAGCACTCAGGAGTCTGAGGTAGGAAAATGAAGGATTAAGGGGCCAGCTTGGGCTATGTAGCAAGAAACTATCTCAAAGAACAAAACACACAAAAACCCTACATCACATACAAGTCTTCCTTCCAAGAACAGTAAAAAAGGGGAAACGCTCTATCCTTAAGTAATCAGGTTAAATGAGAAAACACTGATAAATAGAAAGCACTATTTTTCAGCACATTGGTATTTATGTTTTTCTTTCTCATCTGTCATCTGTATGCACCTGCCCAGCCTTACTACTTACAAGTTATTTTTCTTTTATCTGAAGACACTTTAAAACAAAAATGAAAGCTGATTGCTGGTGGCTTAAGCCTGTAATACTAGCTACTCAGGAGGCTTGAGATCTATCTGAGGATCTCGGTTCAAAGTCAGTTGAGGCAGGAAAGTCCATGAGATTCATCTGCAATTAACCACCAGAAAACTGGAAGTGGTGTATGGCTCAAAGTGGTAGAGTGCTAGCCTTGAGCAAAAGAGCTCAAGGACAGTACCCAGGCCAACTTCAAGTCTCATAACTGACAAGAAAAAGGAAGGAGGGCGGGAAGGAGGGAGGGAGGGAGGGATAGAATAAATATTTTAATCATGAAGAGCATACTCCTCTAAGTGTTCTAAACAATGTTAAGGGAAAGTATTGCATACAAAACATTGTTTCAGTTCTCTTCATTATTCCACACGAGACAATCAAAACCCAGCAGAGCTGGGTATGGTGACGTATTCCTATAATCTCAGAACTCAAGAGCCTGGGGTACAGCCCACTGCTGGTGGCTCCTGCCTATAATTTTAGCTACTCAGAAGAATAAGATCTGAAGATTACAGTTAGAAGCAAGGCAGACAAATCTGAAAGACTGTCCACTTAACCAGCACAAATAGCTAGATGAGAGGTGAGATGTGGCTCAAAATGGTCAAGCACCAGCTATGAGTGAAAAAGCCAAGCTCTTAAGAGCACAAGGCTCACAGTTCAAGCCCTAGTACCAGCCCCCCCACCCCTGGGGGGGAAAAAAAGACTAAGACAGAAGAATAAGGGAATCTGAGTTTGAGGCCTTCCTGGGCTACCTAGGAAGACTGTCTTAAAAATAAAATACAAAGGAAGTGGCCCTGTGGCTCAAGTGGTAGAGTGCTTGCCTTGAGCTGAAGAGCTCAGGGACAGCACCCAGGCCCAGAGTTTAAGTCTCACGACAAAACCAGTAACAAAAACCAACAACAACAACAACAAAAGCAACAACAAGTGGGGTGTCAGTAATCCTAGCTACTCAGGAGGCTGAGATCTGAGGATCGTGGTTCAAAGCCAGCCCAGGCAGGAAAGTCCATGAGACTCATCTCCAATAAATCACTCAGGAAACAGGAAATGGTGCTGTAGCTCATTTGGTAGAGTGCTAGCCTTGAGCTGAAGAGCTGAGGGACAGTATTCAAGCCCAAAGTTCAAGCTCCAAAACCAACCAACCAAAAAAAAAAAAAAAAGCAACCACAAAAAAGTAAAACAAAAAAATCATCTTGGCAGCTAGGATCTACCACACTCAAGTTTCCTAAAATTAGCCCTGTCTTTTCTAAAAATAGATCCTATCTTGGATTAACTTTATGATTTCAATATTTGAGCAGAAAAGGTACAAAAAAAAAAAGGAGCAAGCATTTCTTCCCCAGAAATAGTCTGTTATCTAAGTTCACAGTAGCAATTAGTGGTCACTATATAGTTTTTACAAAGTCACAGGCTACTCTGCAACCAAATAATCAAAAGTTGAACACTGTTTAAACCCTAAACCAACTAACCAAACAAAACTTTAAATATCAACATCCACTCCTCTCACAAACAGTATGATTTGGGAGCATGCTCAGTTGGTGCACTATCACCTCCAACTCTTTTTTGTATACTGGTTATTTAGGGTGTCATATCCAGCCTGGGTACATATCTGGAATGAGATCAGCTTATTCTCACTTCCTGTCCCAGCTTAGACGACGTGTGTGTGACCATCTCTAACTCATTTCATTGAGATGCAAGTATTGGATTTTTCTGCCTGGGCTGGCCTAGAACCGCAACCTTCCCAATCTTAGTGTTCCACATAGCAAAAGGTATGAGGTACATGCCACCACACCCAATTACGGTGTTGAAAAAGGATCTCATAAATTTTTTGGCCTGGGCTAACAGCCTTAAACCATAATCTTAGTCTCTCAGGTAGCTAGGATTACAGGAATGAGTCACCCATACCCTATTACAATATGAATTTATAAATGTCCAAGGCTATAGAATCTTAGGAAATACCTTCTCCATGTCCACAGAAAGTTCAGCAAACCACTGTCTGGCATCTTTCTGCTGTACAACACAGGCCACATGTAGGCAAGCTGAAAAAAGAGACAGTTGTTCAAGTTTAACTGTATACATGGTCTCAGAACAAGATTTTCATAAACTGTACATTATCCTCATACTGTTTTAGTTATATTTAATAACTACTACTGATCAGCTCGTCAATTTACTGTGATAAAGATTAAAAAAATTAGTAGACTACATTAAAGATCTTTACATCTGCTCTTCACTGTGCATTAATTGTGCCAAATACCTTGAGAAATCATAAGACAACCACACATCCAATGGGGAGGTTACAACAGGAAAGTCATCTTTGAACAGCAGCACAGAGTAGTCAAGTTGCACAGAAGTCACTGACAAAAACAACAAACTAGCTCATCAATACACTCATGTTTTAATAGCGATTATATTTTGATATTTCAATTAAAAGTAATATTGCCTCCAATTTTTTTTTAGCTTTTACCCATTTTCAGCACACAGGTAAATTAGTGGTTTAGTGACAAGTGACCATACTGGTCAAGAATCAGTGCTGAGATCAAATATTAGAAAAAAATGTAAGGCATTGCATATAATTATACAAATTATACACAATCAACACTAACAAAGAGCTTATAGACAATAATCTATACAATTCCCACTGTTTAGCCTGGCTATCCTGATTCTATCCCAGTTTATGACAGAGTCATAGTCTCTGGTCTGGTTATCTGTATGACTTTGCTAAGAATGATAATGTAGACAGCAATCCAAGAGGGTTAAGATGTGGCTTGGTGGTGGAATGATTGTCTACTTTGTAAGCCCTGTTCTAGTCTCAGCGTTCCAAACAAAAAACAAGATTAAAACAACAACAAAAGAAAAACCAGTGTTTTGGCACATGCCTACAATCCAATAGGCCACTATTGGCTACAGAGGGTCCTTGTTTCAAAAATTAGCCCAAAATAAAACAAAAAAAAAAAGCCACTAAAATGTCAACTGTTTGCCCACGTTAAAAGAAGCAACTTCAAATATTGCAGAAAATGCCATGAAGAGGATTGAACAAATCCTAAACCAGACTGGTGATATGGGGAAGATGGTAGGAGGGTGTTTAAAAAAAAAAGTGAGAAGCAGAGGAAAGAAGAGCACATATGTAAATGGTAACAAGAGGCTGTAGATCTTATCCATCAATTGAGAGGAACAATAAAAGGTTTAATTGGGAGACATATTCTGCATTTTAAAAGGTTTAATCTAGTCAGAAGCAGTGTTCGTGCCTAAAACCCTAGCTATTTAGGTGTTGGAGACTGAGAGGCTACTGGTTCAAGGCTAGCCTGGACAAAAAGTTATCAAGAATAAATCTTACTTTATGGTTAACAACTGTGACCCCAGCTGTTACTTTGGAAATGGTAGGTATAAGGAGGAAAATGTGATCTAGGCTGATCCCAGAAAAACAAAACAAAAATCTGTGAGATCTACATGAAAAATAACTAAAGCATAAAGTGCTAGGGTTGTGGTTCAAGTGGTAGAGCACCTGTTTAGCAAACATGAGGTCCTAATTACAAACCCTAGTACTGCCAAAAAATTCAAAATACTAAAAGCCCTATTTATTAGCTCAGAGTTTCTCAACGTTGGCACTACTGTCATTCTTGCTGAGACTACTAAGATTGTCTTATGCATTGTAGGCTGCTAGCAACAGCCCAGCTTCTACCCACTAGAAGCCAAGTTGTATCCCACTCCAGTGTGAGATCTAATGCCATCTCCAGACACTGCCAAATGTTCCCTAGGGAAAAATTACCACTACCTCCTACCCGCATTGAGACTCACCAGCCTCACTCAACAGTAGGGAGAACACACTGGCTCTCTGAGCACAGGGATGACAAAAACCATCAGCCAGTTAGAAGACTGCTGTGGTTTAGCCGGAAACCGGTGGCTCATGCCTGTAATCCTAGCTACTTAGGAGGCTGAGATCTGAGGATCATGGTTCAAAGCCAACCTGGGCAGGAAACTGTGAAACTCTTATCTTCAAGGGTAAACCATCAGAAAACTGGAAGTGACGCTGTAGCTCAAGTGGTAGAGTGCTAGCCTTGAGCTGAAGAGCTGAAGGACAGTGTTCAGGTCCAGAGTTCAAGCCCCACAAGCGATTAAAAAAAAAAAAACAAAAAAAAAGAACTTCTGTGGAAAGTTTGATGGAAATGAGAAGATGGATATCACTTTAGAGAAGGGACAAAAAAGGTAATAGTCACTAACTACATGTAGCTATTCAGAGGTTCAAAGAATCTAATTGCTGGTTTCAACTAAGATAACTACTTAGTTCTATTCACCAAGCTAAGAAAAGCATTAAAAGAATCATATTTGGAGACAAGAGTTTCAGACAAGAGTCTGAAATAGTGACATGCCAAGTACAGCTGCGTGAAAAGGGTGATGGGTATTAATAACTACTTAGGAATTCAGTCTTGATTAACCAAAAGACTGGTGGAAGCCATGAGCCAAGACTAAACAGAAAGGACAGAAGACCACACAAAGGGCACTTACAGCAAAGACATGGCCCATATTATCTCCTCCTTCTTGTCTACAACAGATCTTAGCATTTCTACCCACTGAACACAGATGCCATTTCAGAATCCTTCCAAATCCAATGTTTTACAATCATCATCAGTGATACAAAAGCATAAATATATACCTAAACCTATTTGTCACCCTTGATGTAAGAAGGCTAAAAAATAAAAATAAATCAACATTTAAGAACTAAAAGAAAAAAAGAGAAATCAACAAGAGTCTAACGTAGTAAAATAGGAAGGAAAGTAAAATAAGGGGAAAGTTTAAAGGACAAAATAGTAGAAATCGCTGGGAAGATGGCTCAGTGGTAGAAGCGCTTGCCTTGCATGCCTGAGGCCCTGGGTTCGATTCCTCAGCACCATATAAGCAAAACAGAAAAAAGCTGGAAGTGGCGTTGTGGCTCAAGTGGTACAGCGCTAGCCTTTAGCTGAAGAGCTGACGGACAGCGCCCAGGCCCAGAGTTCAGGCCCCATGACCGGACCCCCCCCCCAAAAAAAATAGTGGAAATCAACAGAAGGAAAGAAAAGGAATAGAAACAAGTGCCTAGAAAACAATGGGCTATTTGATACACTATAAGCTATCTCATTTAACTCTTAAGAAAATTCTATTATCAGAATCAGCTCCCTTCTTTTTTACAATTAGGTAATCAAAGTATCAAAGTCAGAAACAGTAGGTGATTTTCCCACACTGTAAAGGAAATAAAGTCTAAAGGCAGGATGATCTGACTCCAAAGACTGTTCTAACTCATTACTGCCTCCATATACAGTAGAATGGTAGCTAACTTTACTCCTTGCAAGATAGAAAGAACCACATTTGCTTCTCTATTCAATCTCTGAGTATCTAGGTAGGCCCTAGAATTAAAAAAGCTTAGTCATTTTATGACAATGTTAACAAACTTAATTATTTCCCCTTTAAATAAAAATGTTCTATTTTTTAAAAAAGAAAGTGGGTAAAGTTATTTATATAATTTAAGAAAAAAGAAACTTACAAAGGGGGTAGGAGGACAATAATCCTGATTTGTGACAGCTGCAGTTCATATTATCGAAAGTTTACATGCAAGACTTAGTCTATTACTTTATGGACCATAAAAACATAAAGTACAATAGGGTGAAATTTACTTTAGAATGACCTAAATAGATTCCTAACAACTTTTTAAATAAAGGCACACCACGCTTACATACCTAGAGCTATCATGAAAGGAGGATACAGTAGGCAAAGATCCGTTCTGTAGGTATCATTCACTATTCTCCTACGGAAATATAAATCATATATTAATGAAAACAGAATTAAATAATTTTCCTCCCAGAAAGGGCCAGATTTCCTATCTTTGTGCCTATTTCTCTTTTTTATTACTAAACACAGAAATAAAGATTAAAAACATCAAGGTAAAGGACAGATTTGAAAACTCTCAATAAATTATATAAAACAAGCACCTTTTTCTAACTTGTGAAAAATTAGGAAAATGTTTAATACTACCAAAAATACATTTTAAAGACAAATTCACTCATAATTTTTCCTTATTTTTTCATACAAAATAAAATTTTAGCAGGTAGCAGTCATCAAATAGATCATTTAAATGAATATCACTAACATTTATAGCATTATATTCATTAAAACTTAAGCTAATCTCTTGCTCAACACAAATTTATCTTGGAGGAACAGGTTTAATGACTTTAAAAATACTAAATTTCCTATTTGTCAGTTTTCCTATCCACAAACACAGTACACTATTAATAAACTTCTTTTCTAATTACCATGCAAGGGGAAGCAACATGTCTTCTTGGCCCATGTCCTGCACATACTGGAGCAAAGGTCTGTAAGGATGATACACTATCAAGCAACAATCCTAGAAAGAGTTTAACAAATGTGCATGTGTAAAAGCAGATTATTACAACACAAAAATGGTGTCATTACCCAACTGATTTATAGTTGTGCATTTCAAAATGTTATTTCTCTAATTCATTTTGCTTCCCTCTTATTCTCTTAAAGCAAGTGATACAGCCCTGAACTCTACTGTAATAGTGAAAGCAGTGCTCTCTCTGGAATATACCTTGGTAAATCGTTGGCAGTCTATCAGCATCCATTCATTCCCTTAGAGACTGAAAGTGTCACATCCATATTACACTGAAACCTGAACGTCCATAATTCCCAAATGAAGGAGCAGAATTTTGCCAAAGACATGTCTACCTTCAAATAACACTGCACACATACACAGACTGTGCACATAATTTACAGTGGTTTAGACTTGTTTGCTTGTGATCCTTTAATTATGGGTACAACAGAACAACTTTTTTTCATGCTGAGTAGGATATGTGAATTATTTCCCAACATCAGAAAGGAAACTGGTAATGATGTTACTACATTACTATTATTTCACCACGTATCACCTGGTTTAAAAATGTACCTCCCTCCAAATCCCTTCATTAAATTATTCCTGGCTTTATTAAACATAGAAATAAACTTTACTTCAATTATTACAGGAAAGAAACACTCACCATTAGTTCTAGTAGATAGAATTCACATTCTAATATCTGTTTAAAAAAAAATTATCTACTGTCAACAAGAAGCCTAATTACAAGTCTGCTTGGTTTAAAATAACAACTCATGGACATTTTAGTAATTTATTATATACTCTTAACATTTTTAAATCAAGAAAATAAGCAGGATAGCTTATATAAGAACATGCACAACAAAAATTATTTTACTATTATATAATTCATATAATTACAATTAAAAAGCATTTAAAAAGATGTAAGGAAAAAATCCTTTTTTTGGTGCTGGGATTAAAGCTGTCACATCGAGCCTACCATTACCAGCCCCCGCATTTTCTTTACTCATTTCTATTTAAAATATGTTACAGGATAAGTGTGTATATAGCTCAAGTGATAAGAATGCCTATACCAAGCAATCATGAGATACAAGAATAACAAAGAGAAAACTACAAAATCTTCATTTATTTTTTGTTATTGTTGTTGGTCATGGGGCTTAAACTCTGGGCCTGGGCACTGTGCCTGAGCGCTTCAGCTCAAGGTAAGCATTCTACCACTTGATCCACAGCACCACTTCCAGCTTTTTCTGTTTATCTGATGCTGAGGAATCAAACCCAGGGCCTCATGCATGCAAGGGAAGCACTCTACCACTGAGCCACCTTCCCAGCCCCCAAAATCTTCCTATTTTTCAATACTTTCATACAACAAATGAAAAATGCAATTATATCTAAAACAATTTTCAAAAACATGAAAAATCCCCTGCAACATGAAAAAAGGATATACCTAGCAAAATATCAATAGAAATTCATCTTATTAAACAATGTTAACTTTTCAAATATGCTTTCAATCCTGATCCATTATTGTAGTTCTCAACCCCAGATGCAAATAAGCTTATAAAGAATACTAATGCCAGAGCTTCCAAGTGTAAGAATTAATGATTTAATGTGGAGTATTATTAAGTTTCTAGGTGACATTTGAGGTAGTTCACTCCTGTAATCCCAGCTACTCAGGAGAATCACAATTCAAAGTCAATCCAGACACAGGTGAGGGAGGCATGGGCAGGAGGATTGCAGTTCAGTCTGGCCTAAGCAAAAACTGTGAGACCCTCTCCACAAAATAACTAAAGCTAAAAAAGGCTAGAAGCAGAAGCAGAGCTCAACAGGTAGAACACTTGCCAAGGTGATATAATGGGCAGCACAATTGCTACAATATATTTTTTAAAAATAATGATTTAGAAACTTTGTGCAAGCCGGGTGTCAGTGGCTCACGCTTGTAATCCTAGCTACTCAGAAGGCTGAGATCTGATGATCCCAGGTCAGAGCCAGCACAGGCAGGAAAGTCTGTGAGACTCTTATCTCCAATAATCCACCAGAAAACTGGAAGTGGCGCTGTGGCTCAAGTAGTAGAGCGCTCATCTTGAGCTGAAGAGCTGAGGGGAGGTGCCCAGGCCCAGAGTTCAAGCTCCATGACCAAATAAAATAAAATAAAATAGAAGGCATTGTGCTTTAATTAAAAATATTATATATATTCTTGAAGTATTTGACATTTTACTGTTAAATACAGCTATTTCATATATTGTCTTGATGAGTGATTTATATAATATACTTACATGATTCATCTTATAGGGGAATTCCTTTGGGAAGGCATATGAAAATCTAGTTTTCACTGCAGAAAAAAAAAACAACTTAGAAAATGTCTAAGTGAATTAACTCAATTCCTTTATCACAGTAGAGCATATTAGAGAGTATGGCTGCAAAATTCCGAGTAGGCTCTCCTGACAATGCTTAGGAATTTGTATCTTTTCTTTTAATTATACTTTAAAATTATGTTTAAGTATAAATAATGAAGTACAAAGGAGTTACCATTCAACAAATCAGTTCATGAATGCAATGCATCTTGATAGATATGGTCACCCTTTATCTCTGTAGCTTTATTACTTCCAAGAAGAGAAAGACAAGCTGGTATATAACATATACCATAATTTGAGGTTCAATTTTACACTTTATATTAAAGGATTCTGATGTTGTATCAAAACAAATTCAGAGAGTGAAAAAACAATACTGACTTTTTCATCATGAAAATCATTCTAGTACTAGAATGATACTGTTCTATTCTCCAGTAATTCAGTTTAGAAGGGACATGGGAGTTGTACATGTGTTCACAAATGTTATATATAAATGCCACTTTCAAATACTATATATGCTTGTAAAATAGAAAAGAAGGAGGGAGGAAAGGAAAAAAGGAGGAAAAGAGAGAGGGAGGAGTCTTTCTTTTTTCTATTCCAGGAATTTATCTAAGATACTATATTACACACCTCTTTAGACTCTTTAGACTTTGGCTGTAAGTTTTCCAGACTTTTTCTATTCTTGATGATTTGTACTTCTTAGTAGTACTAAGGTACGCTAAAGGTGCCCCCTAATGAAATAGGCCTGATGTTTTCCCAATGGGATTATGGAGTCTTCAAGGTAGACTAAAGAAGTACCACTTTTGTCATTAACACATCAAGGGTTTCCAATATTAATGTATTTTATCACCACTGCTATTGATCTTGATCACCTGGTTGAGTGAGGCAGGATTTTGCCAGATTTCTCCACTATAGTTACTTCTTTTCTCTCTTTCCATAACATATACATTATTGGGAGCTGTTGGGAGCTGACAGTAAAGCTCAAAGGTCATCTTGACCCCTGTGCTCGCTTAAAGACACGTACAAGGAACTGGCTTACTTAGAAGACAACAGGTGCCCAAGATTGCTTTGCTATGTCTGCAGTTTGTTTTAAATTTTCCTTGTTTTTCTGGACTATAGTAGAATGGCCTGAGTGTGGGGGCCCACGAGGATGCACCGTGCCCCATGTGTGGAACTCCCATTACCCAGGCTGCTCCCATGTTCTGAAGAGGATGACCTTACGAGATACTGACTTTTATATATGGCCAGGAATTAGTTGAACTGCTTCGGACATTTCTAACTGGTGGGACTGATGTTTATTACTGTGTTAGGTGGGGATGTGAGGTAACTGGGACAGGCTCTTGGATCATGCACAAGGGCCTCCTTATCCTTGTTTGGTAAATCTTGCTCCCAAGACGTGCCTCGAACCCCCTGCGTGGCCAATGCTATCCTTACCAATGTAATCCTGTTAAAATAACCTTTACAGAGGAGGGAAAAGGATAACTAAGAGGTGGGTCTGCCATTAAAACAAAAAAGGGGGAATCTGTAGAGCACATGGGCAGCAAAGATGGCGCTGAGAGGGAGTTGAGTGGGCAGAGCCCAGTTTGCTTTATGTTCAGTGCGTAACCAGCCCGTGGAAGCTTAGGTGCATGATAGGGTGTGACCTTGACAGTGGTTGGTTCCTCTTCCTCCCCTGCCATGCCACGTGCTCTTTTTTGCTTTAAAAAGGGCTGCTCTGTGTTAATAAATGAGTTTTCCTGCTTGACTTGACTCCCTGCTGTGTCTGATTGTCTCGGGGCTGAGGGAGGCTGGGGAACGGGGGAGTGGCTGCACTTACCTTTCCTCAGACCCCATCCATCTTGTCCATCTTTCATGGGATGGACGAAAACCCAACAATACATTAGCAGGAAGTTACTATATAGTCAATACTTTAAAAGTAGGGATTTATTAGTCTGAGTCAAAGAGTAGCTAAATACATCATTTAGCATTCAGAATTCTTTCTTTTGTGGTTCGAGAGTAGGTCTTGAACTCAGTACCTGATGCTTCTGCTCACTGGCTAGTCATCTACCAACTGAACCACATCTCCAACCCTCATTTGCAATTATTTTGCACACATGAAAAACATTGGACTAGATTATTATGTACCTCTCAAAAAAAGATGATGACCTCAAAATATAAAAATCACTCAGCTTGGTTCACAGAACACAGAATGGTTTCACTTGTGTAGATCACAGAAATAATTTTAAAGGTCTGAATGATCTCGTCAGATAATGTCTTTTTGCTTAATCTAAAAAGATAGAGCATACCACAATATTAGTAAGTTGTGTACAGTAGTTCTACATTATTTTATAATGTTATTTCTATTTATACCTTGATTCATATACAGCTAAACATCCATCTTTTTAGCTAAAGATCCAAGACCAAGCAACTTGTTCAAGGTTATACAGCTGATTAGGGACAAAGCACAATTATCAAGAGACAGAACTAAAGCCGAAAGTTAGTTTAGTGACTACCCTATGTAACATTTTTCAACTTGGAGGTATGATAATTCACAATTCTCATCGAATACATACATTATAGTTACTACAGAAAGGGGTGAATCTAGCCCAAAGAATAACAATAGCTAGTTAAAACAATAAAAATCGGAAAATGAATTTTTTCATCCATATAAAATTAAGAACTCCTGACTCAATGTTTTGAGGCTGATTGTTACTACTTATTTTTAAAATTACAAGTACTGGGCTGGGAATGTGGCTTAGTGGTAGTGTTTGCCTAGCATGCATGAAGCCCTGGGTTCAATTCCTCAGTACCACATAAACAGAAAAAGCCGGAAGTGGCACTATGGCTCAAGTGGCATAGTGTTTATCTTGAGTAAAAGCTCAGGGACAGTGCCCAAGCCCTGAGTCCAAGTCCCAGGACTGGCAAAAAAATAAAATAAAATAAATACAAGTACTGCCTTTTGTAATTGCTCCATACAACTTAGTATTTATCAAAATAAGAATCAGGAAGTAGAGACATGTTTTGGGAGGTAAGCAAAGGAGGGCACAGAAATGGAGGGAAGAAGGGGAAGCAAATGTAGCCAAAGTACATTACATATAAAAACGAACTATGTAAATTGAGGGTAAGGATAGGAGGGGGATAATGAAGGAAGGGGTGACAATGACCAAGAAGCATTAGTACTCATAACCTGACTTATGGAATTGTAAACTCCTTATACCACTGCTTAATGATTTTTTTAAAGTATCACCTTAGATATGGTTAACACCATTTTAACTTATTTTTGACACATATGCTAGTAATAAAGTTATTCTTGGGAGATATAATAAACTCAACTACATGTGTCTTATAAACTACAAAATATCTGTGTACTATGGAGCTCTCTTTAGATTACATGGTTAAAGCAGAGCATACTTTTTGCACTTACATACAGAAGTAGCAGCAGCAATCAACCTCGTATTAGAAACCACTCCAAATTCCTAGAGAAAGAAAAAGTGGATGTGATCAGATACATAGTAATCCAATAAACATCAGGTCTATTCAAAAGAGTATATGCAAACTCCTTTCCTGTTTATAGTCTTCAGCTTCTAACTTAGGTATGAAATATTTAAATTTCTAAATTTACTGTTCCTTGAAGCTTTCACAATTTACCTGCATACTGGTGGTTCATGCCTATTTATAATCATGAGAATTTGCAGTTTGAGGTCAGCCCAGGCAAAATAAGTTCATGAGACAACATCTCAATCAGCAGCTGGGTGTCATGGAGTATATATACCTATCATCCTAGCTCCAATAGAGGCTGAGTCTGGGAGGATTATGGTTCCATGTCAGCCCAGGCAAAAAAGGTCTTGAGACTCCCTCCATACACACACACTGCAACAGAAAAAATTGGGCATGGTGGTTCAAGCCTATCATCTTGGCTACAACAAATCACAAGTAGAACTGCAGTGTAGGCCAGGTGCAGAACAAAAAGACCTGGAGGTGTGGCTAAGTGACAGGGCACCTGTCTAGCAGTGTAAAGCCTTAAGTTCAAAATCCTGTACTAACTCACAAACTAAGGCAAAATTTTAAATAATTTCATTATTTAATCTCAATAAAAGAAACCAATTCCTAAAGTGACAATGCCAGTTTCTGCTAATAAATCCATTTCCAAGAAAAAAATTTAAATTCTATACTAAACCATAAGAAGCAGTATTCAGTATCTATCCAACTGGACCTGGACTAATGAGCAGATACTTCATATCATGAGAATATATCAAATCTCTGAATAATATAAACTTTGACATTACTTAGAAGACTATACAAGTATCTACAACCTTTTCTGGAAGAGAAAAATAAGAATATATGATAAGACTTCTAAGATAAACTGTCTTTTCCTCTTCCAACTCAATATATTACCACTGCCCATCATTGGAATTATCAAGTGATCCACTTCACATATGTTGTACCATTTAATTTCACATAAAACCCATTAAGGTCTCTAAAGCTTTCATTTCATTTTAAAAAGGAAAAACCAAGATTGATTCCTTATCCAGCAAACAAAACAAAACTATTCACACACTTCAACCTATATCCTTTGTAGGGACAATATAAATGTGTATTTATATTAGCATTTTCAACCCTAGCAAGTGAAAATAAAAATGAAAGCCTGAGATGTATTACTAAACACCATCTGTATACAATTTCCATAGTTAGATAAAAATATTTGATTAGATTAAAAACAAACAATAATGCTACAATCAAATCCAAAAAGATACACTGTCCCCTCCCCCCAATAATTCTTGATCCAGGTCATACTGATGTTCTACCACTTGAACCATGCTTCCAGTTCTAAATAATTGCTTGTCAAAAGAATGTTTGAGGGCTAGGAAGGTGTCTCAGTGGTAGAGTGCTTGCCTTGCATGCTTGAGGCCCTGGGTTCGATTCCTCAGCACCACATTAGCAAGAAAAAAAAGCCAGAAGTGGCGCTGTGGCTCAAGTGGTAGAGTGCTAGCCTTGAGCTGAAGAGCTGAGGGACAGCGCCCAGGCCCAGAGTTCA